GACTACTGCATATCACCGTGAATATCGCGTTTTTCACTACACGTAAAACGGGTGAAACTCCTTGCTGAGCACAATTCTGGCCGCCGAAACTCTTTGTGCCGTCACTGCGAATTTTACTACTGTCATTCACCCTAGTTGGATAAGTCATTGCGGCGGTGTTTCCGATAGATACGAGCAGTCCAGAGGTAAGGTTGGCAAACCGCTGCAAAGGAAGGTTGGACAGCACCTTCCAATACGACAGGATCCCCGCGTCACCATTGTGGAGACACTCGCGGTAGGCTGCCTGAAATCCGATGTGTTGGATGAGGAACGTACTCTCAGGAGACTTGCCGTTGTGCAATTGCATCAGGCGCTGGAGTGGAGAACCCTTCAGTGCTGTCATCTACGCCTCTTCGTTTGAACGACAGCGCTTCACCTGATGTGTCAGTAGGCGAGTCGTCAGTACTCGGAACGACGACTAGTAGTTCGAAGGAGAAGGCTTGATTATCAAGTGATTGATTATATAGGAGCTTAGCTGTTATTATGACGCGCATATTGGGCATTTGCCCGTGGTGAAAACGGCGCGCGTTGGATATATCGCCCAGCATGTCTGATGTTGTTATGAACACTTGCGTCAATTAAGTCCTTTTGCACTCCTTTGGTAGACTTTGGTTATCTCAGTTCACTCGGGATGAGGGAATAGTTAAAACGGTAGTTACCGTATTGGACTTGAATGAGTGTGAGAAAAATGTTCCTTCTTACAACTGATTACAGTGTGAAACTCACACACTGTGAGCGCCTCCACGCCTCCTCGTGGCGTGCAAGCCATAGTTTTTGAGCGCTTCATGATTTCCAGTGATTTGGGTCGCAGATAAAGATTGATGCTAGTCCACCACTTGAAGTGGTTAACTAACATCAATCTGCCACACAGACGCTTATTTTGTTAGTTGTTCGTTAACTAACAAAATGCTACTTCACGCCAACTGGCCTTTTGTTTGGGACGCTGCACTGCGTGTCGACCAACCCCACACTCGAAACCCAACCTTCAAACTTGCCAGATTCGAAACTGTGATAAACTCGGATCTAGTCCCCATAACACTGCATATGCCAACACCACCAGAACCTGCCTTACTCCGTTACCGCTTTGACCTACATCCAATCAAACTAAATGCTGCCACTAGTAATGAGTCATTACTAGTGGCAGCATTTCAGTCAGTACTGATGTTTATAAGAAGAGATGTTTTTAATGTTTTAACGTGTTTATAAGTTCAACTAGAATAATAGCAATACAAGTACTTCAAGTTAGTCATGTATACTCAACTAACTCCACTTATTGGGGGTATCAATAGGGTCACAACTCGGCGTGTTTCGTATCTCGAACATAGCGGCCTCATTCGTCGAATAAACTCCTGAATGGTGGTGGAGTCAAAGCGATTACGAGGCGCCGTTCCCTATGTGTGGATGATATTATGCTACAGATACCCCTTTACTGTAGCCGGTGGGATAAGGCCCCCAATCGACTTGTCCGTACCCAACCGACTAAGCCCTATTCTGTTATGTTCCACACACGATATTCCCTCCATGCAACGCAGCTGTCGGAGGGATTAGTCCTCCCGATGAGCTTTTCGCTCGCCTTGTTCATTTTCGAGCAGCTTCGTACTTCCGTCGTCAGCCCTCGGTTGACAGGATGTCTCCCGAGGTCTATTGGAATTGCATGAGAGAGAGGATGTCGCGTAGGCTTGAAGAGCTCATGGCTGGCAAAGGGGGATCGATATCGAAGAACCGTGCATAGTACTCTACTCCCTTATGCCCACGCTTAGTAGACTCAAGTCACCGGGCTGCCCGGTGCTGTAGTAGTCGTCTACGGCCAGTAAACTGGTCGGGCCTTCCGAGAAAAGGAATACCCCAACCTTGTGCGGTCGAGTTGTGGTTCTCCTACTCAAATTTCCCTTAGTTGTGATACATTCACTTCGTTGTAATGCGCAGCCGTCGGTGTGTTCTACTCCCATTACAACTGGTCACCACCCTCCCACTTCTATTCGTAGCAGCAAGAGCGTCTTCTGGATCCGTCGTGGTGTATGCAACGTACCATGGAGAATCCATATTCTTCGGCCGTTTCTTGCAGCTCCTCGACAGTAACTCGAAAACTGGTTCTGGCGTATCGTGGGTGGACGCAAGACCGCTTATGGCTAACTCCTGCCATGAGAGCTTGCCCGCAATCAATACGTTCGTCCTCTATCCGACCTCCAAGGGGTGCCGCAGTGCGATCGAGAAAGCCTGCAAGTTCATCAACTCGAACCCACAAGGCGTTGAGGCTGTCGAATGGTCGTGCAGCAGGGATGTTGAGCTACTTCGCAGTGGGGAAATTGTGGTAGATGATCCCAACGACAGTTCGAGCACTGATCAAATATTCCAGTACCGTCAAGTACCGGCAAGTACCGAGTTGGGAGCCGTCCAGAAACATCCATTCGATAAAGTTGACCTTGCGCGCGCATGGCG